CCAACGGACCCTGACCGCATTGACTTGGAGAGATTCTGCGCCAAGATCCGCGCTGGCTTTGATGATCTCCTCAAAAATCATGGTGGCCCAGATGCATACCTCCGCTCAAGGTATGCGACGCCGCAAGAGATGCAGGGCTGGGTGGACTACCTAGCAACCCTCCAAGACCAACAGGTGTGCTACATGAGCCTTGACCCGGCGCTGGAGACCAGCAGTCTTGCTGCTCTTAGTGAGGTGTGGTGTCACGATCACGGGGCGGGGACAAAAGTAAACAAGACATACCATGACCAGTTCATGCGATATCCTCAAACTGTTTGGTGGCCAGTTCACCCAGAGGGACCCGTGGTCAGTTGTTCAAGCTATAAAGTTTTAAACCTGGGGGCCAAATGACATGGATGATTTCCGGGTTCTTTCTCAGCTACTCTAGCTTGTGCCCTGAGGGGAGGCTCCACAATCTCCACCTGGCATCCTTCTCCTTTGCGAAGGGTGCCAGCATCCGTGGCCCGGCGGAGCATGACACGGTCCGGTTGCTGTTGGATGAGATGCTTCTGGATGGCTTTGTCACCCAGGGTGAGCCGCTGCTGGTGACCCAACCAGCAGAGCTCTTGGCTGAGCTCACGGAGGCTCTGGCTGTTCAAGACTTTGAGAAAGTTTAAGAAGCAAAAAAGTAAAACAATACAATATAATTTTGGGTATGTATCATGTAATATAGAAAGGCCTGTCTACAATCGCGTGGACATGAACACTGGGTGGCACTAGGTGGGTGTGAACGGTGCCAATGTCAGGTGAAGATCAAAGTTCCTTGGAAGGGTGGCCTCCAACCTCTGTCCATTGGGTACTTCAAAGGAAGGACACGAGTGATGGTCCTTCTGGCAATCCTCGCGGTGGCCAAGGAGATGAAGATTGATTTGGCAGAGGCGCTAAGTTGTGAAAAAGAACACATCCCGCGCCCATTAGCTGGAAGGTTTTCATGACCCTGTGCCAGTGCCCCTCTTCCTTGATGCTTGGTACCCCGACAATAGCGTTTGCGCTTGCGCAGGCTCACCCAAAGTTCTTCCGGAGCCTGCAAACTGTGTTGGCACACCGGGTGCAGCTGCCGTCGAAGCGAGACGAACTCTTGGGGAACTTCAAACTGTCAGTGCGAGGTTCCATTCGCAAAGCGCCCAACGTGGTGTCAGAGGCTCATTTGCTAGGTCCGGTTCAAGCATCAGTCACTTAGTTGGCAGTCTTTCCAAACAGCTCCCCGCTCAATACTAAATGTGCCACAACTTGCAAACAAACAAAATTAGGACTTGGATAAGCAGCATCGTTCAACTCCAGCGGCACGATGCCTCATTTGATGTGGCTACCTTTGTCGCTTGACCTCAGCCATCAATTTTTGCGCCGCCGCCAAAGTGATTAGAACGCCGCCGTCTTTGACAGGGTTTGGACAGCCCTCTAAAAGTCATCATATTTAAGCATGTTTAAGGCCCGCTCTCAAGAGAAGCTGAAACTCGTACTGTTCAGGTGCGGGACCACAACAGTGGCTGTTCTCGTGCAGGACAGTTGTTGGGTAGCAAGGCCCAAGCTGTCAAAAACATTTTGAACAATGTTCCTGCCAAATGCCTCAAGCTCATTGTGGACTACACTGTGGAAGTGGGCTACGAAAACACCCCGTGGTCGGATGACTGCCTAGGGAGCAAAAAATGGCTGACAGGCTTCCAGCACTTCGTTCAAATTAAGAACCATTTTTTGTGTTTGTATGTCAACTCGCGCAAAAGAACCCAGTCAATGTGCACAAACAACCAAACTGTTGTGGGGAAATACTTCTGGCGACTCTTGGTGAGTTTCTTGTGATGTCGTTGGCTGTATTCCAGGTTCCGGAGCAATGCAGGGCAAGTGTGGCAAACCAGGGGCAAGGTCACGCCAGAAAGCTGTGAGGTTTTTGTCCCTCGCTTGATATCTTCCAAGAGAGGTTGAGATGCCTAAGAATCACGAAAGGGCCGGCAGTGGTAATTTTCCACTTTAGGTTCACTTTTAACAAGTGTCCTGGGGACCCGTTTTTTAGATCAAAAAAAGGGTCTCCAGGCTACTTGTCAAAATCTAAGCTGTGAATTTCTTAGATTTTGGCAAGTGGCCTGGAGACCCTTTTTTGGATCTAAAAAACGGACACTTGTTAAAAGTGAACCGGGGCCGAGGGCCAGGTCCTTACAGTCCTTCATTCTTAGGTGTTTCAACCTCTCTTGATTGCTGCAAAGTTGTGATTTTTGTTTTGACAAAGGATTCGCTCTACGGAAAATTTCATCCAAATTCAACCTTTGTTTGAAGGATTTTTTGGGGGGCACAGCGGGTCTTTTGTTCAGGTGTCTGCCCTCATTGCGCAGAGCCGGAAGACGCCGGTAAATTTGATTCGCAAACTCGATCGGGCTGGATGGGACAGACTGGCGGAAGAGAGTGCCTGTGTATCTGCGATGGGTATTGAGGTGCAGGGGATTCTTCCAATTGATGATTCTGCCCTACGAGGCGCCTGGCACAACTTGTTCATTGCGGGTGACAATGGGGTGGTGATTGAAGTGCAGAGCTGCATCCTGTCAAGGACAGTTGCAATCCGTGATGTGCCTAGCCTCAACCGCTTGATCAAGGAACACGCAGCCAATTGCCCAGTGCCAGCAAAGGCCACAGTGGCCACGATGAATCAGCTGGAGAGAGACTCCTTTGATCTTCTCGAGAAGCAGGTCCAGTATGACTTGCAGGCGTTGAGGATTGCAAAGTCAAAGAGGTCGACCTGGGAAGCTTCGATCTACCATGTCAAGCTCCAACATAAGCTTGACCAGCATGCGAAGTCGAGGGCAGCCGCGCAGTGGTTCTTTGAAAACTTTGTTCAAGTCATCCATGGGGATTGCAGCGATGACTTGATGAGGCAATTCCAACTGCATCGGGGTGAGACCATCAGCAGGTTGAGGCTGGAGGCGTCATCCTGTGTCCTTTGCCTCGAAGAATTGTTTTTTTTACTTTTGTTTAATGTGAAAGGCGTTTGAGGTCTTGATGCGATGTACTCCTTCTAGTCCTAAGGCAAACTTTGTGTTTGTCAACTGGTTGGCCCCATGCACGATCAAGAACTCAGTCATGTCCGGCCAATCGGCCTTTGTCGCTGCCAGCATCTTGGGGGAGCCACGGAACTTTGGTGCTGCCCTGCTCCCAATCTTCAGCTACAAGAAGGGGCAACTCTGGATGATTGAAGCTGGAGCTATTCGATCCCTGGCAATGTCAGGATTGAACGTAGACAGTTGCTGGAACATGTGCTTTCACAAGAAGGTTCCTTGTTGGGGATTCAGCCTTCCTTGTCAGCTCCTTTTGCATGCCATGAATGGTGCCTTCTTTCTTTTCATTTGCTTTTTCCTTCCTTTCCTTTGCTTTCTAGCCTGTCAGGTGGACACCCGCGATGGTAGACCATGCAACTACCCTGGCAGGGTGCTGCTGCACCCGACATTGAAGGACAAGATGTGGCAGAATGTGGCTCTGTTGCGGACTGGCAGAACTGAGCCCTGCGACATGCTGCATAGCCGCGACATGCTGTCCATAGAGGATGTGAGCGCCGACGCGCTGCCGTCCACTGTGGACGATGATGCAGCAACTGTTCAAGGAGCAAAGAAGTATGAGCAGGCGGGATGTTTGTTTTTGAAATTCTGGTCTTTGGTTTACGAAAGTTTGTTTGATACAGGGCCCCTGCATCATTTGCACTTACCCTGCAGTTCGGAGAGCAAGCCGGCCAGAAGCTGCTGGACAGCATTCTGGATGGGCTGCAGATGGAGTCCAACGGCTGTTTGTTCATCGTAGACGTCAATGCTGGTGTGGGTGGCCTTTTCGATGGGTACTTGTCAAAGCGGGGGGGCGTGCAACTTCAACTTGCAGTATGTGGCGGTGATGAGTGATTCTATGTCAGCAGAGTGGTTCTCTCAAACCAAGGCCAAGGGTCAAGACAAAGCGTATGTCGCCCAAACCTAGTTTTGGGCTCGCCCCCAAAGATAAAGCGATAAAGTTTAGTGTTGGATCTTGGGGTCTTGAGTTTGGTCACATTGCAGGTGGACTTGCTTGCACAGAGGCATTACGAAGGGAAGCTCAACATTCCAGGCCATCCAGTGCCTCAGGGAGAGTGCCCGCAGGATCTACTTGAACAGCCCCCTGCGCCGCCGAGGCTGAATGTTTGCATCCAGCGTTCAGACCTCTACCCAGAGATTCCAGACAGCATTGTCAAGGTGGGGTCGACTAAACTTATCTCCCCCCCCAGTCTCAAATAGGAGTTGGTTAAAAATAGGAGTTGGTTGAATTGAATGCTTCTTTTCAAACTCGGCTTCAACTTGGCAGACCTGGTTTGGCCACGCTGAGTTTGGCGACGCGTTCAAGAAGCTGATGGATTCGATCCACGAAGAATTTGGCCCACAGCCTGCAGCAGGAGAGGCATCACCCAATAAGAATGAGGATGCCAACAACAAGGACGATCCCGCCAGCACTGCCCGGAAGCGCAAGAACGCTGGAACCCCTCCCTCCACCGCCAAGAAGGTCAAGGTGGATCGTGCTCGAATCACTCCAGTTGATGAGATTGGGACGGAACAGAAGCTCCTGGAGGTACCCATGTTGAACGCGAAGGCCTCCGGTGTCAGCTTGCACTTGAAGACTGGCAACAGGGTTTTCATCCTGAACCGCTCAGAGTCCGAAGTCCATCTGCCCAGGGGAAGCATTGTGGCCGGCTTTGGGCGTGGCAAGTTCAAGCGTGTGGCCAGCAATGAACAGGCCGATGGGTCGTCGAAGGAGGTTGCCTACAGCCTGGAAGGCCCTTCAAGCGAGGTCCCTTGAATAGATCAATCCCGGAATTGAATTTTGTAGCTTTTGAGGTTCCTTACTGTCAATTGTCGATGTAACTTGAATCTCAAAAGTTTGATGCTGGCTGGCTGTCTTGTCTCACAGTGGCCCAGGTCATCCTGCAGACACAGCTCCAGACTTTGAGTGCAGTTGTGGAGGAACGCAGGAAGTCCAACCCCGCTATCAAGCTAGCCTACTTCGAGATGACAGAATCTCCAGAGAATGGGGACCCAGGGCGTTTCACGTTGAAGAAGCTGCATGATGTGCGGTTCGTGCCAGCGGGCGCTGCTGTTGAAGGAGGCCCTGAGAACCAAGAGACCACGCAGGCATCTGCGGCCACGCTTTTGCCCCTGCAGGCGTGGCAGAGCAACTTGCCCCAGAGCCTACATGTTTTTTGTGGCTGTGCTGTTTGTTTGTTTGGTGTGGACAGTGTGTAATGCCTGGGTACCTAAATAAGTTTCTGAGGTGTTGCGCTGTATCCTCTAAGTATGCGAGTGGGTTTGGGGCTGAGGTGATGTGGTCAAGGTGGTCTACACAGTGAAATGGGCGGCAAACGGATTGGCCCCTGTGCGTCCACAGGTGGTTTTGCTTCAGGACCTCGACTTGCCAGCAGGAAGAGGCGTTTCTCTATCCTGACCGAGGGGATTTTGTATGCCAGTTTGCTGTGCTGTTGAGAATGTTTTTCTTCAGCTACTCATGACCAGTAACTTTACAACCATTGTTGATGGGTTCACCGCAGAGTCTAGTCTAGCAATCTTGGCAAGGTCCTTTTTGAAGCAGCGCGTGGGTCCAGTTGCGTACCGACACCCTTCAAAATCTTTCCCACCAAGTTAAGCTATAGCTACATCTTCTTTTCATAGTTCTCCATTACCCCACTGGTGTGACAAAAGGTGTGGACTGGACCCCGTATTGACGCAGATGCCAGCCTCCCGGAATGCAAAATAAACCACCCTTAGCTTCAATTTAGTTGGATATGAATGTCGCGCCGACATGAACTTAAAACATCCTTTGGGGTGTGCTGGCTTGTGCTTTGGAACCATTAGTCTTAGTGACCCACCTTCCCATCCCCAAAAGGTCTGGGAATCCCTGTGCACCGGCCGCCTATACACTGCAGGGTCCGCTCATCGGTTGAGCTTCAGACAGTGTGCCATTGCTGGCCCCATGCACGGGGTATGCCAGGAGCTATGGTCCTTGGGAAAAAGTTGGGCGCAAAAATTTGAACCAACGCCTATGTCAATCACAGTTAGTTTCTTAAGAATTGCAATTGGTCGAGGTATATGTTCACTATGTTGTAGTCGCCAACTTATTTTTGAGCCTTCAATGGAGCCTTCAATTTGTCAAGCTCAGCTCATCGCTTCCATGCAGCAGCGCAACACGATGCAGAAGAAGCACCTCTTGGCCTTCACGCGTGCTCGGACTCCCGAAGACATGGACCAGGTCATCCCAAATGATCAAATGGTCCAGGAGGTTTTGTTGCCAATGATGGGAAGGCCCGACACGATTTGTTTGACCTACGGCTTGATTCAAGAATGCAAGCTTCTCTCCATTGGGTTTAACTTCTTGCTTCTCAAAGGCTTGGGTGAGAACACCGCTCCAACCTACTCACACGCGTCACTCAACGTTTGTTAGACCGTGTTAGACCTTTTTCCCTCGGCATAATTTTCCAACTCTATTCGCATTTTCTACGTTCATTTTGTTTTGTGTGGCTTCACCTTGTTCCTATAGTACAGCCTTTAGGATCCTTTTCCAGAACATGATGTGTGAGATCGATGATGAGATGGCAGATATGATCCTGCAAGAGAAAAAACCTCCGCCCAGTGACGTGGCTCGTGTCGATGCTCGCACCTTCAGCTGCGAGTCCAGGCAGGTGATGATCGTCCCTGATGGTCGCCTCAGCAAGTCGGCGGAGCCCTATGTTCTGAAAGCCATGGAGTTCAAGTCACCAGAGTTGGGTGTCCTCGACATCGTCCACGTGTGTGAGCAGAAATATGCTGTCTTGACCAGACACACCCTGCAGCACAAGTTGAAGCTTCCGGTCCAAGAGTTTTGAGTTTGGGTGGTAACTATTTGGTTTTGATCATTTTGATCATGGCTGCTCTCTCGAATAGAGCTCGGGGTTTTTCAATGTGCCACAGTGCATTATTGGTGATTCCTAGACCCAGTCTAGCTAGCTTGGAGCGGACCGGAATGTGTCAAAACGTGCGGCTTTTCTCCTTGCAAGTCAAAACCCTTTCACAGCTGATCTCAAGTATGGCTCAACCACTGCAACTCTCTTCCCCACTGTATCTGTCTCTTTGACTTGGCTATCCTGCTGCGCCCAGGACAAAGACTATGACGATGAAGCCATAGCCGCATAGCGCCCGTAGTAGTTAGACAGCCATTTGCCTTGGCCTCTACCGTTGTTGGTATTTCTAAACATAAATTAGGAAGTAAAGCTGTTTATGACAGTCCTGTTGGCGTGGCCTGCACTGTGTCTCACCGGTGCTGACTAGTCATCGTACTCAGTTTTACTTTGAGGTCAAAAAATAACTCGAAGTGAAGGGGAGCGTCTCGTGTGAAACTCTGTGCAGTACCATCCTATTGAACCAACCTATGACTGCGTGTGCGAAACACACATCCCTCAAATGAACAGCTCAGGAAACATTCAACGACATTGCCCTAGGCATACATGGTCGTGTTTTACACGTGGTGTGTGTGTGTGGAGCAGCTCACACTCACTTAACAAGCAAATCTGGGAGAACAGTCACTGTTTTGAAGGTGTCTTAGTTCAAAAGCCACGGGAGCACTGATGTTGTTTAACTTAGCCGCTGCTGTCCTGTTGGGCCACTTTATGTACATTATCTAGGACAATGTGGTGTCTTGTCGTGACGCTTTCAGTTTGTAGGACACTCTTGCGTGACACTCTTGTAGGACACCATCTGCTTGACACTTTTGTATGACACTGTGTGCACAGCACCATCCCACCCTCCCTCCCGTCGGAGGCCAAGTCCCTTCTGGCATCAAGAATTGATTTGTCCACTCCGTGGGGTGGATATGGCAATGGGCAGTGCCCTCCCACCCACACACCCTCCCACCCTCCCTCCCATTTCATGGCGTCACGCCATCAAGTACCCACTTTTCACAGCACAGATACAAATGGAAAATGATCAGATACAAGTGGGCGAGTTTGATTCTGGCCTCTCAAAGGCAGCCAGCGCATCCTCGGTTTCCCTGATGCATCGTACCGAAACAACAGTGACAAGTCTAGTCAACGTGCACACGTCATCTATCTAGCTGAAGAAAGACAGCCATATAACTCTCGATATACCGAGAAGAAAGATAGCTCAGCCACACGTGGAACTATCATAGACTATGAGAGTCATAAGATTACTACTACTACTCAGTCTACCACTGTTGCTGAACTTCAAGCCTTGATGAGGTGTTTTGGCACATGTCTTTTCCTTCGTGCGCTGTGGGCTGATGTCAGTGGCCAGATTCTTCCTATCCACTTGCGAACAGACGCAAACAACCTGGTCACCACTGCACAAACCACACATCTCCCAGAGCAAAAGGAAACACATCACCTCGCCCAGATGCTCAGACACGAGAGCAACACTGGCAACATCGATGACTTGAGTCATGTCGCAAGTGAATTCTGTCTCGCTGATCCTTTAACAAAACACACCGCTAAACCGGACGAACTTGTAAGAAGCATAGAGACAGGAACACTCCGTCAGGTTGATGTACACCCACCTTTCCGTACACTTGTGAAACACAAGGCTTTTATAACTGAGTGGGTCATTAATAACCTGCCGGATCCACAGTTTGTTCTCACATTCTTTGCTGAAGACATATCAGACTGTGTGTATTCACTTATGTATGCTTCATGACATTTTTCTTGTGAATTTTTGTCTCAAGAAAATTTGTGTCTGCGACTGCATTTTCTGGTTCAAGCGCACTACTACGGACGAAGACAAGCTTGAGCATATTTAGTCTCTGTGATCATCATGGGCCGCAAAGTTCCAGCACCTGCTGCCGAGACTCCAGTTGCACCTTCTCAGGCACCGGCAGCCAAGTCCAGGCCTCGATCACC